ATTACTGACCTCAAAACACTTCCAACCAAATAGGAGAGACACTCACACGAGCCAAACTCTTGTGCAAAGGCCACCTCACGCCAATTCTCCCTGCCTCCCCCATCTCAGGAACAGACGCACCATCTGCCCAGCTATTTACATCTGAAACCTGGGCATGACCCTTGATTCCATGGCACTCCATCTCTAGGGCTACCACCCAATTCTAAGCCACTCTCACTTCTACGTGGACAAAGGAAACAGCTTTCTAAACGGTTTCTTGTTTTCGTGCTACTTTCTCCAAGTGACATACATTCTAAGGTTAGTAGGAAGTACATCATCGGGCTGCTTTTCTTCTGAAAGCCCTGGAAGAGTTCCCTAGCCCTCTTAGAAAAGAGACAAACTCCTGCCAATGGCCTAAGAGGCCTTATATAGCTGCCCCAGTCTATGCACCAGCCTCACCTCCGATGACTGAATTCCCTCTACTCTGAGCTCTTGCTGTTCCTCGGGTAGAAGCCATTGCACTTGTCCTCTTCCTGGAAGACTCTCCTCTCTCCCACTTTCTGTCGTTCCAGAGTCTTGGATTCAATGTCACCTCCTCAGGAAGCCCTCCCTGATCACTCCACTGCTCAGGACATTTCATTCCCACTTTCTGCACCCATTTGTAAATCCCCTGTGCCTGCCTCTCTCCTCTAGCGAGCTGTAAACTGACCCTGTCAGGGTTGTGGGCAGCTGTGCCCCTGGGTAGAACTATGCTCCCCACAGGAGGCAGGCAGAAAAGGCTTGTTGTTTGATGAATGTCCATTACAAAGAGGACCAGAATGAGGATGACAGAATGTACAGTGAAGGAGGAGCACTTCCTTTCGACTGGGAGAGGAAAGATGCGAATAGCTTCCAGAGGAGAGACCGCATGCACTGTGTTTTAGAGGACAAGTAGGCACATCCCAAAACGCATGCCAGAGCTCTGAAACTAGCAAAAGACAAGCCCAAAAGGCACGGCTAGTCCAGGAAGGTCTGAGCAACAGAAGGGTCCCTGAAATGGCTAAAACCCAGAACACACGCAGGTATGTGCTACGAGGACGGCACTCACGGTGGAGAGCCTGAGTGACACGGTAAGGGGTTAGCATTCTATTGTTTGGGACCACAGAAAGTCACCGAAAAGTTTGGAGGGTGAAAAATTAGTACACTCTAACCTGTATTTTATAAACATTGAGAAAGATCGTTGTAATGTAAAAACCAGCAAACAACCTAAACTGGCATCACTTTTAAGAGGACTACATATTCACCTCTGTTTGGAGGAGAAAAAAAGAAGTCCTTGGATACCATGTGGCAATGCAAGGGAGAGGGGGGCTCACAGCTGGTGACCCTGTGTCTCCAAGAGGATGAGCTGACTGCACATCAGTCTGGGGCTTTTCAAAGGCACCGAACAGCCACATAAGATTTCCAAATGGGTTCAAAGTAAAAGGCCCCAGCATCATGGATAAAGAAGCTGGTAACTGGATTCCAGGACTAGAGCTGGGTCCTGGACTGGGAGATGATTACGAGCAAGCACGGTATGCATTCCAGAACAGTTTAGTCAAACAATACTGAACAGATGGGCTCACAATACTTAAACTGCAATTAACCCTAAAGACTGGCATATTATATTAAACAAAGTGAGTATATGAATGACTCCATCCCAGCCACCACAAAAGGCAGTTGCTAACGCTACTGCAAGGGACTGAAGACCTCTAACAGAACATGCCTTCCAAAGCAGCGATAACCCAGGCGCTCTGAGGGCTTTATCGATACAGATTATTTCAAGACAGATTTATTTGATGAGCACAACTCTCCTCAACAGCTACGTAATAAGATGGGAGAGCTGACCTGTAAAATGGGTAAAGACAAAGGCTGACAAAGTTAACTGTGGCTTGTACTTGCAGAAGTTCTGGAGAGTGGGAGAGGCCCAGGAGCCTGCAGCTATGATGTTGCACTGGGTGGTTGTTTTTCGTTTTGTTTTTTTCCTTTGGGTTTTCTGTTTGTTTGTTTGTTTGTTTGTTTTGGCTCCAGCCAGGTGTGAAATCAAATCTGGTCTTCAGCTTGCCTATAAAATGAGGAATCCCAGAAAAAAGATCAAAGGTCCCTCCCAGATTTAAACTCCCATGGCAATGAAGAAATCCCTTGTAGGCATAACCTGCTTTTCACAAACCAGTGAAGGGACTTGCGCCAGAAGAGGGATGCCTCCAGACTCAGTATCTGTGAGCACTGCCCAGGTGGGGTGGGGGCTCTAGCAGGGCACCGGCCCCAGGTCTGAAAAGGCCCCCAGCTGGAGATAAGCAGGGAATCACATGGTCACTGCATGGGCTGAGACCTTACGTGGGCCAGCAAATGGCTATAAATTCTCCATATGTCAAGCGGGGACAGTCACCCAGAGAATTAAGACAACGGGTATGAGATGCCGAATGCAGTGCCTGGCACGGAATGCAGCCACTCCTCGGTGCAGCGCAGTTCTAAAAGACGTCGTCGTCAGTTTTACATCACTTTTTCAGTTGTTAGATTTACCTCTGCTGATTTATAGGAAATTCCCTCTGTAGGAAAGATAAAACTGTGGGACCTCATAAAACAGGAAAGGACCCCAAAGTCCTTTTGTGCAGTTCCCTGTTCTTAGGCATTTTCATTGTCACCACCACATCACTACTGAAACTGTGAAGGACCTGAGCAACCCAGCCACAAAGTTCTTTGTGTCCCCAGGGGTCCCCCCCAAGGCTTGGATGTACTGAACACAATTTCCTGCACTCCTGGATGCCCTCAGAATCAAAATTGTCTGTTATTACAATAAATTTATAAAATGAGATGAAAGTGCCTAAACCAAGGGGATCACGCACTACATAATCAAAGAGCCAATTCTAAAATAATAGACAATTACGAAAATGATAACGAAGGCTGTAACAACCCTCACTAATGCTTCTTACGCTGTTAAGCAAAAAAAAAAAAAAAAAAAAAAAAAAAAAAAAAAAAAAAAAAAAAAAAAAAAAAAAAATCGGAACACACAATCTCATTTATGTTGTGATTACAATGAAGTAAAATTATGTACAGACAGAGCAAGGGCTGAAAAGCGACTTGGGAAATGACTATGGCTGATTTGCTAAGGAGGAGCAATTGCAGAAACTTTATTTTTATCTAGTGACTTTAATGGGGTTGACACAATAAACACCACAAAAGTGACAGTCACAGGGAAGGAGACGCTGCTGTTCACTCACCCTGGGTTATACAACATGACCGTGGACAGGTTCTCACAGGACTTCGAGAGGTCAGTCATGGACAAGCTGAAGGAGGACAGAAGGCCACTCTAAGAGCAGACACAGGGCAGAGCGGTTACCTTAGTGGGGGAGAGAGGGCCAGAGCCCTGGACTCACTGCTCTCACCTTGTGAGAGGCAATGAGGTACATATACCCCTCATTAGCACGCACGCCAACCGGTCTACCTGAGGACGGCAAATCAGGGACAGCCAAGCAACAAATACAACTCCAACCCAAGCCTCAGCTAACCACAGCGGGGCCCCAGCATGCCCGGACAGGGGAAGCTAGCCAGGAAGTGCACAACCATGAGGATCTCCTCGACCACGCTGCACTGAAGTGGAGGGAAGGGTCACCCTCCATTCCTGGCGGGAGCTGTGTCCTGTTCTCAGCAGCACTCACATGTGTTGAGGAATAAAGATGAGGAGGGAGAGGGGAAGGGAGACCAAAAAGTAAGAGCTTAACCTGTTTGCTTCCATGGAAAGCTACTGGCAAATATATTTTCCTCCCTCTCTTCCTCTGCAACTGTGAACCAATAAGGACCCTCCAGGGAGACCGTGGGCCAGAATAGATAAGAGGCTTCACTGGCTGGAATGAGCAACCGTGGAGAAGGCTGGGGTTTGCAGCTTTCTCGTTCTTTCCCATGGAAGGCACTGGCACCCTTGGGTAGCCCTCACAATAGGAGGTTGACATGCAGGGCTCTGTGACTTAGGGGTGAAGGGCAGACCCTTTAGGTCAGCGGGTCAGGGCAGCAGTGCAGGCTGGCCATGTGCTAGTTAGGGAACAAGTAAGCCTCAGTTTCTCATCTTGATCATCTGTGACATGGGGTTAATAAGAGCTGCTACACAGATAAAGCAGTAAGATATGCTGTAGAAGTTTCATAACTGTATGAAACTGGCTCATAGAAATGTTAGCTGTAGCCTTTACCTTCCTCAGTCTAAGGACATACGGTGTCCCAAGACACATTCTCTCTCATCTCTTCCCTTCTCTCTCAGGTCTTCTACCCACCTCACCCGTCCTGCACTTAGAGTGCCCTCTGGATGACCCTATCCAACTAGCTGTCCCAAACTCACCCCCTCTCTGCTTCACACCCTAACCAGGAGTCTCATTTGCTATGGCTGAAAGTAAAAAGGAAGCAAGCCTTTGGATGAAACTGATTCTGATATTGGGTTAACTCCTAAAACAGATCCTCATAAGTGGAAGTCACTCCCCACTTAATGCAAAACAATGCCCAACTCCTTTTGGGGGGTGGAGGGGTGAGGAGAAGGATCTAGAAGGAGCCATTTCTCCCCCTGCTCTGGACTTGACCAGTTTGCTTTCCTACTTCATCAGCTAATCATCCACTGAGAAACAACTCCATACAGTCAGTACAGGCTACAGCGTGACTTTTCTAGTTCCGTACTCCGGAAAATCAAACTGCTCCCACAGCCCCAGCCCCACCAGAATCAGAATTGGCTCCTGGAGATGTTATGCTGCTCACCTTCCTCTTCTCCCTGAGCTTGGCAGCCTCCTTAGGATGGTTAAAGCGAAACATATTGGTTCTTCCCAAGAGTATCACAGCACCTAAGAACATACAAAAATAGCAATGAGTTCACGGTAAGCAACCGGTTGGTTGACAACATCATGTTGTGGAATTTTACAGCTGAAATGTAATTTCCAGTGCACTATAAAATGGTAATAATAAGGGAAAGACTTAGTCTCAAAAGTCTGCTTATATAAGCCAATTTTAAACCTGCAAATATTCTTATTTTTATAGCTGAGTGTCACAATACTCATGTTACTAAGGCAGAAGTGATGGATTCAAGCATTATATTACGAGATTTAAAACTTAATATCCAGATAATTATAGTTTTGATTGTTAGGAAGAAAAAAAAAGCAGTAAGTTCTACAAAGAGATGCTGTAATACCAACCAAAGCATATGGTCACAAATTTGGGAAATGTTTATTAATGCCAGTAAAAGGAGAAATCCCGAAGGAAAGCGCTTTCAAAAGAAAACATGGTATAATCGGCAGAGTACAGGTAACCACTACTAACGTCTACTTCAGAATTTGACAGGAAAGAAATTGTGTACGTGTAGGGTCTATTACCATGTGAAAACACTGCTTCTTGTTAAAACTGTTAAAATTTGGGTGGCCACATGAGACACACGAGAAAGGCTCCACTTGATGGACCAGGGTTCTGCTTATTCAAAAAATGATCACACAGAATTCAAGCCAAGTACCCAAGGGTAACAAAAATGTTAACTAAGGGCAGGGACAAATTTTAGCATTTTTAAGCAAATAAGCAAACAAACACTTTCCAAATTCAGAACTGCTCAAAGCTGGCATGGGTGTCACAGATGGCAGTGAGCTCCTTGTCATCAGAGGCATCTAAGGGAAGCAATGTTCCAGAAGAGATTCACTATGTTGTCTGGTCCCATCCATACCCGAGAGTCTATCACACCTCAGAAGAGACCCCCATGTTCAATCCTTGCCCTGAAAAAGAATGCAACTTCTTTGTGAGGACAGAACATATCCACTGAAGTCAACCACGGAAGACGACGACATGTGATGAGGGGTCAAGCATCTAAGTGATGTGTGCAAGGCTGCTGTAGGTGGGGACAGACCTCAGCTGGGTCTCACAAGGCAGCTCGAGGACAAGAGAGGTGGTTCCAGTTTGGGGAAACCGCAGGGAAGGGCTAAGCCTGACCAGGGAAATGGACCTGTCCTGCTGCGGGGAGAGGAGGGAGTCAAATCCACCCAAAATGCGGGGCATCAGAAACAGCACCAGGATAGAACAGACACTGTGAGGACTTGGAGAGCCAAGGGAGAGAAGTTGCATCAAATGTCACAAACTGATGGGCTGAGAGAAATCAGCTCAGAGATGTTTTGTGTGCCCCGCGAAAACTTAAAAACTAAAATTATTAGCTTCCAGTTAAAAATCTGCAGTTTTTACATAAAGTACTGAGTTTCTTTCTGATTTCCCTTCAAAAACTAGAAGGTAATGTATCAGTAGATTTGTATGGCCACTTGGCAAAAATCCCTGGGCTGCTGAAGGCTGCCTCCTTTGGACAGGGCACGTGACCTGTGGGGTAACAGCAGTCACCAACCTCTTCACTTGGCTACTATTTCCCTACCTGGGCCTCAAAAGTAATATCGTAGCCCCAGGTGGCTATTCTAGAGCTTCAGACCAGTATATCCACCTGCCTACTCAACATACTGCCTCAGATTCTCAAATTCAATATGGTTAAAACCTAACGGATTAGGTCATAACCCCAGGGAGCTACTGAAAGGGTTGGTTCTGGCAGTTATCATTATTTAGCGGAGAGGGAGTCCGTATGAAAAGAAGAACACAGTTTTCAGAGACTTAAAAGTATAGCAGTGGGTAGTAACCAATCTACAACCTGCTTATCCCCCTCATGGAAAATTATATTCGTATATTTTCCAATCATGAAAAGGCACCATTACCATAATTAAGAAAGGTGTTTTCTATACCTTTTATGACCAGGACTCAGAACTGTGTGCCATACAGAGAAGTCAAAAGTTAAGCAGCCATGTCTAGGATATAGGTATATTTAATGCTCTGGAAGTGAAATTAGAGATTAATAAGGCAATCACATTCAATGTGCTAATTACATTTAATCCAATTCTTTTTTTTAATTTTTTTTCTGTTAATCAAATGCCCAGCCATGCAGGTTGAAAAGTGCTAAAATATGTTAATGGAAAAATAGAAATGGTATTTCAGAGACATATTTCATATCATATTAAATCATTGAAAATAATCTTGCCACCCATGTATTTGCATGAAATACACATAAAAATCCCTTTAAGAGTTATAAAAGAAAACAAAATTATCCATGACCATTCCTTGTTTCTACCTAAATAATGTGCATAAACTGCCTGGCACATAGAAAGAGGCTTGTTAGGGGCCCCTGGGTAGCTCAGTCGGTCCAACTCCTGATTTTGGTCCAGGTCATGATCTCATGGTTGATGAGATCGAGCCCCAAATCAGCCCATTTGCGATTCTCTCTCTCCCTCCCTCTCTACCCCTCCTGCGTGTGTACTCTCTCTCTCTCTCAAAATAAATAATTAAACATTAAAAAAAAAAAAAAGAGGCTCTGTTAAGGCTGGTTTCTTTCTATTTCATTTTATTCCTTTACTCAACAAACCTACTAACTTAAAAAATTGGCTTTGTTTTTACATTATGCTGCTGTTCATGCATTCATTCATTCATTCAACAAGTACTTAATGAACCCTGACTGCATGCTAGTCACTGTGATAAGCACTGCAGATACAAAGTTGAACAAGTCAGACATATGCCCTGCCCTCATGGAATTTATAAGTAAGAGAGAGAGGTGAATAATCAAATAAGTCCACAATTAGATGCAAAGCTACACCTAAAGGAGAGATACCCTGCCCAGTACTCAAAGAGCACATAAGAAGAGGGTTGATTTAGAGGAAGTTAGGGAAAGAAGAAGTGGGAAGCGGTGCCTAAGACAAGCTCTGAGGATGAAGCACGGAGAGTGAGGGAGTGGCATGTGTAAAGGTCCCATGGCAGGAAAAACTGATGGTGGTGGTAGTGATGATGCTGAGTGACTGGAAGACAGTTAAATGCCTACGGCACAGGAAAGGGAGAACAGTACACGCAATGAAGCTTGAGAGAGAGAAAGGAAGAGACCACATAGAATCTTTCAAGATACAGTAAAGCAACTTTTACTTCATGAGGGTGCATAAGAAGATGGTGAAAGGCTTTGTGCAGCATCACATGATTGGATGAGAGTTTCAGAAAGTTCATTCTTTCAACTGTTTGAAGAAGGAAGCAAAGAGGGCAAGGGTAGATGCAGATAAATAAGGTCGGAGGCTATTGCAAGAGTCCAGGTCAAAGACAATGGTGGTTCAGCACTGGGGGGAAGGGGAGAGGAGAGAAGGAGAATAAACAAATCAGGAAGATATGTAGAAGATAAGGTCAATAGGACCCCATGATGGGCTGCATATAGGGACAAGGGAGGTAAAGAAGATGTTCCTGGGTACTGGCAGGCAACAGCTGGTTGGACGGGGAGCTGTTCACACAGACTGAGAATACTGAAAAAGGACCAATATTGGGTTGGGAGAGAAAGCCTGAGTTTGGTTTTATCCATAATGAATTTGAGATGGCTTTGGCAGGCAGAAATATGGGTCTGAAGCTCTAGAAGAAAAACTTGGGACATCTATCCATCAGTGTATCTACCAACCTACCTACCAACCTACTTACTCATGAATATATATAAATGTATATGTATGTATGTGTGTGTGTATATATGTATGTATGTATATATATGTATGTATGTATATATGTATGTATGTGTGTATACACACACACACACTCAGACACACACATGCACGTACGTATATGTACATATCTACCTAACATCTGTGTGTGTTAAGACCCAGCGCATCTGCCCTGCCCCAAACTCTTGTGTGGCCAAGGGTGAGTTAAGCTCACCCTTTCCAGAATTCAGTTTCCTTATCTAGTCATCAAACTGGATACTTTCTAAGGTTCCTTCCAGATCTTAAATTCTTTAACCATGAACTACTCCTTGATTGGAGGTTAACATGATTAGTCACAGCAGATGGACTTTTCTGATGCGTTTAGTTTGTAATTTTTAGAGCATATCTAAGCCTCCTTAAAATGCATGATGGCTTCTTTGAGTTTACTTCAGAGCCTGTTAAATACCAGAAGGTAGACAAGTTCCAGATGGTCTTAAAAGGAAATGGAAGGGAAATGACATTGTAAAAGGGTACACAGAGGCACTTGTTAACAACAACCAAAAAAAAGATAGAAAGAAAGAAAAAAAAAGTGCTTTGCTTAAATCTCTATGAATGAAACCACTGAATGCTGATTTCACAGAAGATTTTCTGTTTTAGTATTTCAGGTACACTGAAAGTGAAATTAAACATGTAAACATTTCTATGGATTTCTAAGCAGTATAGTGACAATAATCGATAATATCACTATTAATTACCCTCAAATTTTATGTGAGATTTTCTAATTCTGCTACGGCACAAATAAATCAACTCTTTTATCCTATTAAATGTTGTCATATGAATATTTCTGAGGTGATGATGTACAAATTAATTAATTCTGGGTTATAATTAATACAAACATGTAGGAAAACTATACTTCCCAAAAATGGATGGTCCAATGTAACAGGAGTTTAGAGGCCAAAAAATAAGGGGCCTGGTGAAATTTTGCTTCAGTCTCCAAATTCTGAATTTGATTACTTTAGAAAGCCTCGCCCCACCCCACCAAGCACACAGACAGGCTATAACAGACGGCTAAAGCATGCTCTGTGAAAGAGAAGTTTTCATTTTGGATACAATTGTCAGGAAAGCAAATCTCTGTCTAGGAACATAGGTTTCTATTTTTTTTTAATGTTCATTTATTTTTGAAAGACAGAGAAAGACACAGCACATGCAGGGGAGGGGCAGAGAGAGAGGAAGACACAGAATCCGAAGAAGGCTCCAGGCCCTGAGCTGTCAGCATAGAGCCTGATGCGGGGCTCGAACCCACAAACCATGAGACCTGAAACGTTCAATTGACTGAG